GCGCAGCAGGCCACATCGCGCCCCGCCGGGGTTGACCTGCAGCCCGGGCGCTCTCGCCCGCCTTCGACCCCGGACGGGGGAGACCCACGTCTCAAGGGCGCGTGTGTGGTGGGTGGAGCGCGCCGGCCCGCCCCCCCCCCCAGGGGCCGGGCCACACCGCCCTGCCTTCCTTCCTCCTTCGTTCCCCCCCCCCGGGGAACGGGGGCAATCCCCGTGGGAACAGGGCTCCAGAACAGTGTGGAGCATGTTCTGAACTATTGATTGGCTGGCATGTGATCGCGCGCTCCCTTGCTCGGTGGTGCTCCGCACTGGCCCGGGCTGCCTGGTTGATGCGAGGCGCGCCCAACTGCCCCCCGGAGGGGGAGCGCGCCCAGGAGCAGCGGCCTCTCCGGCGCCTGGGAGGGGCGTCCCGGTCCACCCATCGGGAGGGGGGGGGGGGCGTGACTGGCTGCCAGCCGTGGCCTGGTGTGCCCAGTGTTAAGATGCAGTTGCCATGGCGTGTACGTGTACGCGCGCGCGCGCGCGCGCTCCTGGGCCTTGCTGCTTTCTTCATCACCCCCCGGGGCTGATCGGCCCCCTCCACGGACATGCAAACATCCGGCACACGCCGCACTTCCTCGCTCCCTTCGGTCCGTGTCGCTCCCTTCCCCTCCCCCTCTGCCCGAACGGCTCGGATGCTGGCACGTCGCGCGCGCAGACGCGTGTGTGTGTGTGTGTGTGTGTGAAGGAGGGATCTATTGGACGATACAAGTACAAGCTGTGTGGGAGAAGAGGGGCATGCGCGCGCATGAGCGCGCATGCAAAGGCGAACGCCGCGCGGCTGATAGGCGGGGTTGTGTGCTTGGGAGGGAGGGGCAGGAGGGAGGGACGTGAAGGGGAGAGTGGGTGCAGCGCACGGCCGCGTGTATGTGTGTGTGTAGGTGGGAAGAAGGGCCAGGGGGAGGGGACGGGAGGGGGGGGGGGGTCCATGCTGCGAAAAGGAAAATGGCATGCATACCCCTTGTCAGAAAAAAACGGGGAGAGAAGAGTCCAAGGCAGGGGCGCGCTCGCGCGCGACAGAGACACAGAAAAACAGGGCCAGAGAGAAGAGGAGGAAGAAGGAGAGAGGCGGGCGGCGCGGCGCATGCCAGGCAAGGGGCGGCTGCGGGGACAAATTTCGGGGCAGATAGTTTACAGAGGGCGTCGGGGGGGGGGGGGGGGGGGGGATGAGGAGGCGGGGAGGAGGAGGCGGGACGCAACACCTCCCCCCCGCAGGGCGCGCGCGGCGATGGACGCCTCCGAGGCGCGAGTGGGAGGGGGGGGGGGGGCCAAGCAAGCAGGCGGCGGGTGCGCGCTCCTCTCCTTTTTTGTTCCTTCTCGCGTTTTTCTTTCTTTCTTTCTTTTCGGTGTCTCTTTCTTCTTTTTTCTTCTTCTTCTTCTTCTTTGCAGGCTTCTTGTGCGGTGTTTCCCCCGCGCATGTGCATGCACCTGTCCCCTTTCGGATGTCGAGAGCGCATGGGGGCCGCGCGGGAGGGAAGGTGCGTATGCGTGCGCGCGCATTCTGGCTCTGACTTGGAGCCGCTAGACTGGGTGAATGGGCGCGCACGCGCACGCGCACAAACACACCCATCACGGCAAAGGGGTGCATGGCACCACCTGCACATACGTACATACACACACACACACACACACACGCGCGCGCGCGCGCATATGGTCCCGCAGTGCACCGCACCGCGCCGCGCAGCACCGACTACAAGTCAGGCTGCTCCGGGTCGGAGGAGCACACGCGGTGCGGTGGGGCGGAGGCCGCGCCCCCGGCGGCGCCGGCACCGACCGAGAGCTTCGCGGCGCCGTATGGCGCTTGCCCCTCGGCCGAAGGGCCGGAGTCGGCGGGCGAGGTGGGCGAGGTGGCACTCCGACGCTCGGCCTCCATGGCATTGTCATAGCGCCCGGTGGCGTAGGCGGTGCTGGCGGAGATGGAGGCGCCGATCTCGGCGGCCAGCTGATCCAGGCTGCTGTCGTAGCTGCTGGAATTGCTGTAGCAACTGTCGGTAAACTCGCTGGCACTGCGGTCGTCCATGATGCCGTCGACCACGTCATCGCCGCTGGTGGGGTCGCCGCCGTCGCCGGGGGCCGCGCCGGCTGGTGGCGCCCCTTCCGAAGGGGAGGCTGCCTCGGCGAAGTTGCCGCTGCTACGGCTACGGGTGTCGGATGTCCATGCCGGCCACCGGGCAGGGGGCAGCCGGTCCGTCCGGAGGGCGGGGGAGGAGGGTCGGGGGGGGGGGGGGTCAGGGATCCGGAGAAGGACCACGCAAAGGCAGGGGCGCGCTGCGACAGAATGGCAGCGGAAGGGGGGGGGGGCGGGGGCGCAAGAGGGCAAAAGGGCGACAGGCCGCAGGCCGACGACACGCACGGCAGGAGCTGCGCCGGGGCGGTGCTGGTGATCGGACCGCCGGCAATGTGGTGGTGCTGGCTGTGGCTGTGGCTGTAGTGGTGATGTGACGACGATGACGACGCAGGGGGGAAGGGGCTGGGCGGGGAGGCCGGGCCGGTGGCCGGGGAGGACCCCGGCGACATGGCCATCAGGGGGATGGAGTGCTGCTGAAAGGAGGAGGAGGACCCATGGCTGCCGCCGCCGGCGCCGGCGCCGCCGCCGCCCCCGAGGCGATGGTGGTGCCCGATGTCCGAGTCGGCCAGGGAGATGTGCATCTCGGAGGAGGTGTCGCGAATCATCTCCACCGACTCGAAGCTGACGGTTTCCGAGGGGGCCACGCTGTTGATCGGGTCGATGATGATGGCCGGCCGGGGCTTGTTGACGTTGAAGTCCATGAACTTGGACTCCAGCTCGATGAGGGACGGCAGCTGCTCCGGGGTGAGGGTGGTGTTCTTGCGCTTGCGCGGGCGCGACCGCAGAGGGTTGTCCTCCAGCAGCATCTCCTCCAGCTCGTAGGTGGCATCGAAGTTGACCTTGCCGCCATCCGGCACGAAGGGCGGCTGGCCGCCCTTATTCTCCATGGAGGCCCAGTCCATGCCGGCAAACCAGGCATGGTTCCGGTAGTAGTTCCGGGTGTTGGGCAGGCAGGACAGCCGGATGGTGGGGTCCCGGTGGAGGAGCAGCCGCAGGGCGTCGATGGCCTCGGCCGACAGGGGGGTGCCGATGACGTCGGCCCCGCCGGCCCCGGGGCCGGCCCCGCCGGCTGGCCGGCTTGAGGGGGGTGGCAGCTGGCTGGGGGGCAGGGCCCCGCCAACCGTCTCGAAGAAGGTGATCTCCGCGCGTTGGATATTCTGGATGAGCTCCTGGGCCTTGCCGGCGAAGGGCCTCTGCGAGTGGGGGAGGACCGGCCAATGGAGCGCGCACATGTCAGCGCATTTCCCATGCAGGAGGGGGTGCAGGAGGGGGTGCAGGAGGGG